GCGCCCGCCCCTGACCGCGCTGTGCCCCCAGCTCCCTGGCCCTCCTCCGGGAGCTCTCGCTGTCCCCACCGGCAGCACTGTGGCTGCAGCAGCGCCAGGCCCAGCTCCAGCACTCGCTGCCCCTGCAGAGCTTCCTGCTGAAGCCAGTCCAGAGGATCCTCAAGTACCATCTGCTGCTGCAGGTCAGCTGCGCCTGGGCCTCAGGGAGGGCAGGGTCCTGCCCACCGGTCACCCGGTGGTCCAGCTGGCGGGTGGGCCCACCGGCGGCATCTGGACTCCAGGAGTGCTGGCGCCTGGGTGCGGCGGGGCGCGGCGGCTGGCCCGGCTGCGTGCACCTCTCCGCCGCTGGGCTCGTCACCCCACCTTTGTGCTGCTGCGTTTCTTACGTCCTTTCTCCCTCCCTGCCCTCTGCTTGGCGGCCCGGTGACGCCCGCCAGGAGCTGGGCAAGCACTGGGCCGAGGGCCCGGGCGGCGGCGGCCGTGAGACAGTGGAGGAGGCCATCGTGTCCATGACGGCGGTCGCCTGGTACATCAACGACATGAAGCGCAAGCAGGAGCACGCGGCGCGCCTCCAGGTGACCAGCGGGGGCGCCCCTCAGCGGGGTGGGGGGCGCCCCGAGGTGCGCTGGGGCCGCGCCTAGTTGCTGACCGGCCCCCCCACCGCTGTGCCGCTCTGCCCGTGTGCTCGCCCGCGGGGGTCCCGGCAGGAAGTGCAGCGGCGGCTGGGCGGCTGGACTGGCCCGGAGCTCAGTGCTTTTGGGGAGCTGGTGCTGGAAGGTGCATTCCGAGGTGGCGGCGGAGGCGGCCCCCGACTCCGAGGGGGTGAGCGGCTGCTCTTCCTGTTCTCACGGATGCTGCTGGTGGCCAAGCGCCGGGGCCCCGAGTACACCTACAAGGGCCACATCTTTGTGAGTTTGGGGGCGGGGCGGGGCTGGAACGGGTTTATCGGACGTAACTGGACCCGTATACGCGGAGGGGTGGCTGGGGTCGCCGGGGGCTGCAAGGAAAGGGCCGCCCTTAAATGGGGCCAGGTCTTCTCAAGTCTGGGGGTAGGAGCGAGGCTTGATAAGGAGGGGTGGAGCGAGAGGGGCTGGTGGTTTCCACCAGGTGAGCATCTTCATGGGGGGACACTGCATGCTCAGGGAGGGTGGGGAGAGGTGGCCTGGCGATCTGAGCCCAGCCTGGTGGGAGGTGAGCAGAGGGAAAGGTCTCCACCTTGCAGCCTGAGGGCATGACTTTTTCTTTTTGCTTTTTAAACATTTATGTATTTACTTATGCAGACAAGAACTGGGGTACAGGCCAGAGGTGCAAGGGATGAGAGGATTCATCAGACACAGAGTGGGGAGCAGAACAGGCAGATCGGCTGAAATAAACTGCTGAGGGGAGCAGTGGGGAGACAGGAGGGGTCTGCCGTGCCCTGTGGGTCAGCTCCCTGGCCGGGGATTGAACTTGTGCCGCAGTGGCTGTGATACTTTCTAACCCACTGTATCAGGGAGGGCCTGGCGAGGAGGGCACCCAGATGGACCTGGGACATAGCTAAGCCTGAGAGCTCTGCTTTCTTCTCTATCCACCCCCAACCCCATTCCTCCAGTGCTGTAACCTGAGTGTGAGTGAGAATCCTCGGGACCCCCTAGGGTTCAAGGTGTCTGATCTGACCATTCCGAAGCACAGGCACCTGCTGCAGGTGAGCACAGGGTGGGGCTGCTGGTCAGGGCCTCCCCCAGACCTCAAACCTGGGTCCAGCTCCAACCTCACCCACCCCCAGGCCAAGAACCAAGAAGAGAAGAGGCTGTGGATTCACTGTCTCCAGCGCCTCTTCTCTGAGAACCACCCTGCCTACTTCCCTGCCAAGGTACAGCTCCTGCCATAGCTGGGGGCCCTGGGAATGCTGGAGGCAACCCCGCACCCCCTCATAGTGCTAGAGAGACCCTAAGTACCACGTCAGACTGGGATACGGTAGACT